GTTTTCTTATCCTCCCTGCGTGGCCACCGTCCCATCTCCATCTGCTTTTCCTTGTTGCTCTGTGTAAATTGTATGTATCCAAAAACAATATTTATATCTATCTGTTTGGTGTGTGCGTGCCATGCCCTCCCCTCCCCTCCCCTGCCGTGCCCTGCCCTTCCGTTGGGGTGTATGCTTTTTTCTATGCATCATCAAAACTTAGTAAATTAAAATGGTCAGCGAGGCGTTTTTTTTTTTGTTTGTTTCGGCAGCATTTATTTTCAATTTGTGTGGCATGCTTTTAGTCGACCACGTTTCAGGTTCCACGCTCCACTCTCCACTCTCCACTCTGCCCGCCCGCACGCTCCCTTTTCGACCCATGTTTTCCATTTAGTTTAGGTTTTAGCCACAATTTTGGATTGGAAACAGTTTGCTGTTCTTGTTTTTTGTGCCCGTCCGCTGCCTTTGTGTTTGGAATATTGATTAAATTGAGCTGCCGATCAGGAATGCGAGGCGAAAGCGATTGCATTGCATTACAGGCTGATTGCACAAATAAAAGCTTAAACAATTGCCCATTTGGCCGGGGCGAAAGGTTAAACTCCCGGCCATTTATTAACACACACGTGCCGAGAATTTGTTTATCCAGGAGTAGGGGGGGGCGGTGGCGGTGGCGGTGGCGCTTAGCAATTTGTTCGTTTGGCGGTTCTTCGGTTAATTGAAACAAGTATTCGCCGGGGCTCACAGGAGCCCCAACACTGGCTTAATCATCCGTTTAACCGAAAGCTCTACGGCGTGCGAGAGGTGGGGGGAGGAGGAGGAGGGTGTTCTCATTTATGCCCCAGCCATCCCCTAAGCCATAGAGCGTTCGCGTTTTGGAAGCTGTGGAAGCGCCTTCCCATTTTGCGGCGTGTCTCGGGTGCTCCATTAAAAATGCATTTATCATTTGGCATTTTTGGAAAAGCTTCCTTCCTTTTCAGGCACAGACACAGACCCGGACCCGGCCCCGTCCACGTCCCCGTCCCGGAGCCGGCAAGCAACTGACACCTTGTATCAGGATGCTCATCCTTTCGGCCGGAGCCCGTCCGTGGGAGAGCACTTTAAGTTGTTTGTTTTTAAAACTGAGCACAAATTGTATTTGTTGCGAGAAACTTTTACTTTGGCCAAGAAATATGCACGAATTTAGTTTTTGCGGCTAAGTGAAAAGCGCACACTACTCGACCATGGCTTGGGGAATGGGGCATGGGGCATGCGGCATGGGGCATGGGGCAGTGCAACTTGGGGCATGTTTAAGCGCTAAACTGTTACTTCCACATGCTCGACTCGACTCGACTCGAACGACGATGGAGAATGGAGAATGGGGAAACAGGTCGCCAAACTGGCTCCAGCTGGCCATCGATGTGTGGGGTTTTAGCCAAGAGCCGAGACAAAAGGCCCGTTCCCAGAGTGTTCATAAAAATCCAACCCGACAGCCTGCCCCTCCCAAGGAACTAGGTCAGCCATAGACACACACACACACACACACACACACATTGTAAAGTGCTGGCAACAACATGGCAGGTGGAAGTTGTCGAGGTGTGAGAGAGAGTGCGAGTGCGAGTGTGAGTGCGAGTGTTCGGCGGGGCTTCCCATTCATGTTTAGCCGCAATGCAGCGCCTGCATAAATTTCATTAGATTTTAGCTCCGGGGCACACTCCGCTCCACACTCCACTGGCGTCTTTTGTTTCCATCTTCTATATCAAATCAATTGGCCTTCAGTTCGATGCCATAAAGCGGGGCAAGACCACGGGCGCGGACACGGCGGGGGGCTGGAGGTGGAGGTGGGGCGTGGGACTGGTGCCACATCTGAAGCACATACTCGTAAATGGCTTCCTAATGAAGTCATAAAGTGCCCGGGCAAAAAGGCAGCTAGATGTCCGCCATTAAACGCACCTTGAGCCAAGGCCAAGAGCGGAGAGAGCGGAGAGAGAGCGGAGGGAGAGGGAGAGAGCGGATGGAGGCTAAAGCCAGTTCGCCGAGAAGTATGCTAATAAACGTAAACCGTGCTCCATTACCAGAACGGGATACGGGATACGGGATGTTGGAGGTAATAAAAATGAAAATAAGTTTGCAAGTGGCCAGCGGCAGCGGCCAGGGGCAGCATGGATTTCGGATACCCTGGCACCCTGGCATCGATCGTTTCGAAGGCTGGGTTAAAAGGTGATAGATGTACAGGATATATATACATATATATATTATAATATATTACGTAAAAAGCCATGAGAAAATAAAAATCATGCGATTATATTTGTGTTTTTTTTTTATGTAAATAAATTTTAAAAATTAAAGTTTTTAAAATGAATTAAAAGTATTTAAATTAAAAATTTAATTTTGTGTAAATATTTTTTGTTCAAATACATTTTAATTTTTTAATTAATATTAATTTTAATTATGAATATTAATTATTATTAATTATTGCCTGCCAGATTGCCAGAATCAATCCAGGAAACGTTCGTTTTCCAATGTAAATTCCTCCAAGTTCCATTTGTGGACGACAGATCCTGCCAGTGGCCACATGCCCATCTTTATGCCAATCGTCCATGGTGCCTCCAGTCTAAAGGACTCTCTTCTACCTTGTAGCATACTACCTGGGGCATACAAAAAGCAGAGTCGGCATCTACCTTTTGGGATTGAGAAATGCAAAGAGGAACCGCGAGAGCCTGAACACACATACTCGCACATAAATCGAACATGCGAGCAGAACCTTTACGTGCTGACAATGATAATGACTTTGGATATAAGCGATGAGCGAAGAGAAAGCGAGAGAAAGTCCCGAAAGTAATTAGGAAAATCCGACTGAAAGATACCCACTACTCGGGGATTGTCTGCAGGAAATTGGAGCAGTCTCCAAGATCTCCACGATCATTGCGCACAGAGGTATGTACGCGTGTGTGTATCTGGGGAGTGCACGAATAAGATATACCCTGGCGCTCAATGAGAACTGTCTGTCTGGCAGCTCCACTGAAAGAAAGAAGTGCATCGAAAACGCTTTGCACGCTAATGCACCATTATCAGAAGGTCGCCCCGCCCCCGCCCCCCTTCCCCCTTCCCACCGACCCTTTCAGAGACCGTAAATCTTCACTTGCATCTGTGGACTTGAAAGGCTTTAATAGATATTTATGGGCGGGGAGGTCGATGATGCATTCACCGTGGAGGCAAACATTTGCTCTAGATCCTCCCTGCCTGGAGAGGGGGTCTCTCCATATGTTTGCATTGATAAATTGTTGCCAGAGTTGTTCTTCAGCCCCCGAAAAGGGAAAAGGGAAAAGGCTTTAAGTTCAAGTGAAAACAAACGGAAAATGGAGAGCGGAAAAGGAGAGCGTGGAACGCGGAGTTGGACGTTGAACGGTGAACCAAAGCAAAACAAATTGTGGCAAAACAAAAACTGCAAACTACATGAACAATTTGGCATGCAATGCGAGAGGAAAACGACCAAAAAGTAAAACCAGAAAAATAGCGCCAGGGACACCGTCTGGATGTATATAGTTTTTTTTTTTTTGGTTTTTTTTTTGGGTTTTTTCTTGTGTTTTAGCCCGCTTGTTGCATTTTTTTTGGGTTACAGGAAACCTTAAAAACGAGCAGCGCTTCAAATTTATGTGCTGCGGAAGTGGCGACTTTTAGTTTTTTGCTCGCCAGGTGTCAGACATGCGAATGGGGAGAGTGGAGAGCTCCCCCGGGGTTGGGTGGCGGGGGGGAGGGGCACTAGGATAGGATAGATAGGCACTTGGGTGGAGGGGCATCGCCTCCACTTGGTGGCCGGTTAAATGAAATCCAAGCTGCTGCCGAGTCCAGGGCCAAAGTCGATTTCCCCGATTTCCCCGATTTCCCCGGTCTCCTTCGATCCCCCCCCGATTCGCCATCGCACACAGTCTCATGCATTTCAATCAAATGAAGTCGCATAAAATAATGGAATGGGAAATGCCATACAGACGCAGCAGAGACAGAGAGAGTGCTAATCGGATTGCTTTTCAGTGGCATGCAATATGGGATAGAGAGAGTGGAGAAACCTGTGATTGTTGGGCGGTGGCCGGGGGGTGCTAATGAACATCATTCTGCTGGCTGTGTGGGGGGGGGTGGGGTCAAGCTCCCACGTTTTAATTAACTATCTCGCATCAGCTGTCCTGTGTGGCAGCACCTCCAGCATCGAGCATCCGACATCCAGAATCGCGTTAAGAAAACATGTGTTCGCTCTCCTGGATTCCGCTTAACCCCTCGACAAATGCTCCTCCTCCTTCACCGCCTCCAGTGATAGTTAGTTTTTATGTTATTGTACACCAACGGCTGCCACTCGAAGAGGTGCGGATGGGGCGGATGGGGCGGACGGGGCGGAAGGCAGTGCATTGGAAGCTCGACTACAACTCCCACATCCAGTGCCGGTTAATGACCCAAACGACACTCGATGGGGCATTAAATACTCGTAGCAATCCGAAACAAGCCATCAAGTTTATGGAGAAATAAAATTAAATTAAATGAGCTTAGACCGGAGTGCCGTAGATGGAGCTGGAGCTGGAGCTGGAGTCGGAGACATCCCCTAATCAACTCGTTTACACTCCTGCCAATTTGCAGAGCTGCGGAAACGGAGATCCACTAATGAAGGGGGTTTGCTCTATGCAATGCATAATTTTGCTATTGGAAGAGGATCCGCTGTGTCGCGGATAAATATTGGTTGAGGAATGGCCCTCCCGCGGGGGTTCAGTTCTTTGTGTCCTGGCCTGGCCTGGCCCTGTCCTGGCCCCCGCTTTTGTGCAGGTAATTGCTCTGCCATCAACGCTTCCTGTCCCGCCATCGGAGCCTCGGGGACAGGAAATTTGCAGAAATTCCATTTTGATGGAGCGTGGGCCCCGCTTGAATTTGTGCATGCACCACAGCGCCATAGCTCCATAGCTCTCCGCCATAACGCATTCGGGATTGGCAAATGGGAGAGGGGTGTGGGGAGAGGGGGGGCGGGGGCGGGGAAATGGTAACTGGCAATGGGACAAAAGGTGTGTTGTTACGCTGCGGATATTTATTGGTAGAGGGAGTTAACGATTATTTGTCAGATAAACATGGAACGCCGCCCGGATGGCACGGATGGCAGGGATGGTATGGATTCAAGTGAAGACCTCGTTCGTGGAGCACAGGGCGGGGTACTGCTTGTTGCGGCCCGTGAGGCAGCCTTCGGTGCGGATGCGATAGATCGGCTGGCCGCACACCGGATCCCTGGCGTAGTTGCAGGTCAGCTTGAAGTGGGTCAGGCCCTTGGTCACATACCGGTCGCCAGCGCAGCCCACATGCGAGTTGCTCTCCATGGCCATGACCGCAAAGTGTCGGTGGAGTCTGTCGGAAATATCGGAAAGGAGGCATGAGGCAAGAGGCGAGAGGCCAGAGGGCACAGGCCAGAGGGCAGAGGTCCACTTACTGCTGCCGCTTCGGGTCGCACGGATAGTGCTCCATATCCGCTGCGGTCATGTTGGCGTGCTCGCCCCACCAAGTGCGCACCCCGATGCCGAGCAGCTCCGGATACAGCCGCTCGAGCAGCTCATCCTCGACGCGGTGCGTCATGTTGAACACAATGATGTTCTGGCCGGAGCGGGTGAAGTTCTGCGTGTTGCGGCAGTCGTCGTGCTTGGCCTGGCACATGCGCGCATTGTAGCCGGCCAGCGTGGCCAGCTCCTCGCTCCACTGCATCACCACCATGCGGGCGGAGCGCGGCAGCGAGGAGTTCTTCCCGCTGGCCACCCGCTGGCGCTGCTCGTTGTGCAGCCGGAGGATCAGGTCCGCGTGGACGGTAAGGTTCACCATCTTGGGCTCCGCCGTCAGGCAGGATCTGTGATAGGGCTGTGGGGGGTGGATTTGTATTCAGTTCTCCACCGGAATTAATGCTCCCCCGGCCACTCACCGTGGTGTACTTCTCGCAGGCCACATGCCTCCTGCCGCGCGCACACATCTGCGGCTTGCAGTACGGATTCTCGGGTCCTGTGGGCAGCGCCAGGATCTGATTGTTTCCCGCTGCTGCTGCTCCGGGCAGGGACCCGGGCAGAGACCCGGGCTGCGCCTGCTGGGCATCGGCGGCCAGAAGAAGGGCAGCCGTCAGGCTGAGTAGCGGAAATAGTCGGTTCATGGTCGATGCTGGACTGTGCTGCAGAGCCCTGAACGGGGCTCCCTTATAAACGAGCGAAGGCACAGGTAGAATGGACGGCACGGCCGTGGAATTCCTCTAGAACAGCTGGCAGTTGGTTTGCCCCAAAATCGCTAGTCGCTAGTCGCTAATCCAAAATTCTTTCTCTCGCGTGGCATTGAACAGATGTACAATGCTTGGCGAATGCCTCAATGCAAGCCCCTAATTGTCGGTGATATTGCAGAGCCAGCCGCTGTGCTTTCCCCCCCTTCCACCACCCTTCCACCTCCCATTTGTTTATCTACTCAGTTGGCCACAAAATTGGCCACGAAAGTTGTGGCTGCCTGGCAGCCCGGCAGCCCGGCAGTCTGCTACCAAAAATGGCTGTCATCATCATTGTCGCTGTCGCGTTTAACAGCTGAGTGCCCTCAGCACGCTGACTCACTCTCACCCCCACGCCGGATGGATGGCTGGCTGGCTGGCTGTCTGGCTGTCAATGGCATTCGCATTAGGCCACATTAAGTGGCATTTCATGGGACTCGGCCCCCACAAACGGACTTGAAAAGCCTAATAACTCAATACCGCTCAATTGATTACGGCCAAGACGCTGGCCAGCTGAGACCTCTCCTCCTTGGCTGCTAATTGCCTGACAACTGGGGCTCCTCCTGATTTGCGTGTGCGCGTACGTGGGCGATACGTGGCTCATAATTGGCCCGGGAATACACCGAATCCAGTCGAACAGAACTTAATTACAGCTGCCGCTGGTGCTCTGCTGGCGGCTCTGCTGCTGCTCGTTTAAGCCCTCGCCTTTGCTCGCTTTGGTCTAGATCCGAAAGATGAATGCCTGAATTATGCATAATTATTCATGCCATATATCGGGGCAAGTATCGGGGACTAGGGCCCGCGCGCGTGCACATGTCAAGTGGGGAAACTCCAGAGTCCGGAGTCCCGAGTCCCGAGTCCCGAGTCCGCCGTACGGACGTCTGTCTTGTTTAGTAGGTTGTAAATTTTAATGCAAAAGAGCAACATTTTTTGTGATTTATTGTTTTTCCGGAGAGCAGTCCACGAGACCGGGGCCATGCATTAAAGAGCAGACGAGGGGCCAGCCTCTGGCCGGATCGGGACGACTTCCCAGATGTGGCCGACACGCGTGCACCTGTTGCCGGGGCCGGCCGCAAAGTCAGTTTGTTTTGCCGGAAATTTATGGCCCAAGACGTGGCCAAAGCCAAATACTCGTACAACATTTTTTTTCGTGGCCCGCATATAATTTATTTTTAATAGAGAGACAACTTTCTTTTTGGTTTTTTATGGACCGGCCCCATAAATATCCATTTCCCATCAAAGAGGACACGAGAGCACGGGAGCACTGGAGCACGGAACAGGAACAGGAACAGAAGGAGCTCTGGCCATCAGGATGGAGACCGATTCAATTATGTAAGCACTTTGCACTTAAAATGTCATTATCTGGGGGGCAGAAGGATGCCGCTCGGCTGCACCCCGCGATCCACCAGATCCATTGTGTCCTCCTCGCTGTATCTGTATCTGTATCTGTATCCGCATCTGTATCTGTATCTGAACGAATGCATCTGTGTGCGTGCATTTCCTCTTAGAATTTGCTTTAGCTGCTGTCAGAATTTTGCAATTGAATAATCAAATTGAATGGCCACAATTATCTGTGCCTCCGTGTGTGCCCATGTGTGTGTCCATGTGTGTGTCCATGTGTGTGTGTGGGCTAGTTGATTTATTGGCCAGGCCAAAGCCACAGCACAGCTCGCCATAACTCAAATACACGCCGCCCCTTGGACCACAAATATTTGCTAATGAATTTTGAGGCGCCAACAAGCTCGGGCTCCGGGGCTGGACCCGATGCGGGCTCTGGTGGCCATGGAGCCGTGTCAAAGGATTGCCGGCCATCAATATGCGCATAAAGTTCAATATTGCCACGCAATTCGCCCGAATCCCGCCAACAATAATCCTTAATTTTATGCAAATCTCGTCAAAGTACTCGGCTCTTCCTTAAGCAGCCCCAACCCCCCAAAACCAGCAACCCGCAACCCGCAACCCGCAACCATCAACCCCTACAAGTCGCCAGCTTAGTTTTCGCAATCCTCTCTTTACTTTTTTGTTGGTGAAAAAGGGAAAACTTTTTAAGCGCCAACGTGGAAAACTTGTCCGTGTCTTGCATGCCAAGAAAAATGTGTCAACTGCGCGAAGGAACTCGCCGAAAACTCAATCCCCGAAGCCACGAGTCCGGGCTCGAGGCCGGGCCGGGCCTGTCCGGGCCGGGCCGCGTCGGTCCGTAGTCGTAAACATAAAATGGAATCCAGCGCATTGCGCTCCCTTATCGCCTCTCAACTGCCAACCCAATTTAAGTTAATTAAGTTGTTACATTTCTGATCTAACACACAAATCGCAAAACAACTGAAATCTAGCTTTTCTGTCCGTCCGTCCGTCCGCCTGCCTGCCCGTCTTTTCTGTCTTAAAGCCATAAAACACTTTCGGAGGCCAAATTCAAAGCAGGAGGAGACTTATTCATTTGCATTGCCGCGAGAATCATAAAAAATTAAATGGAATGCATGTTCCAAACGAAGACCAACGAATGTGGAATACCCTTGAGGACCAGGGGAACGATCGAGGGCTCAACAAAAGACTAAACTGTATTTGAATTATTGTCGTAGAACCCAAAGTATTTTCGCTTGAAGTCGCCGTGCTCTCTGGCGGGATATCCTTTTGTTTGCACTGAGCTTCCTTGAGGATTATATCCTGTTGGCTGGCCACAGGATGCCGTCTAGATTATCGCTCAATTAGCCATCAATTAGCTTTCGAAGTCCTTGAAGAGGGTAAGTCCTCGAACGACTTTTAATTATAACAAAAATTTAACAGGAATTCGTTTTAAACTGTTGTTTTGTTACAGGACGGGACGGGATGGGATGAGAGGGGATGGGATGGGATGGGATGGGACGGGGCGGCACCCACCCCCCACAAGTGCAGCGGAATCAGCATACCCCATTGCCCCCCAGAGTATAATTATGCAAACGTTTTATTATGTTGTGCTCTTGCATACATACATATGTGTGTGTGTGTGTGTGTGTGTGTGTGTCCATACACGGGTTTTTTAATTCTTTTGAGTTGGCATTTTTAAAGCCGCACAAAAATATGCAGGATTTTTTTTGCAGGCCGTCTTTGTTGCTGCCAGCGCGCTGCGACGGGGTGTGTGGGCTGGTGTTGCTGTGCATTGTGTTGACACATAAATTTTAGGCAAACACTGGCTGCACACAGATACACGCGCACACAAGCACAGAGCGGTGCACTCGTGGTTTATTTGGGTGAAGGCCACGAGCAACGCGGCAGCAACCCAAAGGCAGCCACAGCAGCAATAACACAACGGCAACGGCAGCGGCACCACAACGGGGCAAATCTCAGAATTAAATGCAATTTAGTGCAGCAAAGTGGCAGCCCGCACACACACACACACACACACACACGCGCACTTGGTTACATGGAGGGGGGGACACAAATGTGGCAAAAATTTGAGCAAACTTTTCGCAACTTGTTAAGCATTTGAATGGCAGCAATGCCATCAAAAATTACCCAATTCATTTCTGGCACACTCCACTCGTACCATGTCAATTTGTATTGGGGAAAAGCCCAGCCCAGCCCGGCTCAGGGGAAAGTGAAGGTGAAAGTGGAAACTGGAAAGAAGGTAACCATCGAATGGGAGAGTAATTCCAGCAAATACGCTGGGCGATGCTTGAGATTTGGTGCCTGGAGAGGCACAGAACTTCAAGCGACAAGTAAACAAAATGTCCCCAGCTTAGACGCCACTTACGAATGCCATTAGGCCCAGGGGAAGCACGGAGAGACGGAAAAAAAGGGCTAGGAATGCCAAATAGAAAATACCAAATACTCGCACCGATGACGATGCCGATGCCGATAAAGCCTCCAAAGATTGGGAATGTCGAGGCAAATGTGTTGTAAGCCCAAAGATTTCTTTTATAAAAATGTTGAATTTGCGTGGCATGGCCTTTGATTTTGTTGCCACATTTGAATGTTAAGTGGGGAGACGATTTGTCAGGGGTGGAAGTCCCTGAACAGCTGAACAAGATGTCTGTCTGTCTGTCTGTCTGCCAAGGAAGTTGCCAGGCTTCGGCTTGAGTAATCTGTCTCCCATCCGTCTCCGTCTCCATCTCCAGCTCCATCTCCGTCTCCATCTCTGCTGGAAAGGCAGACCCGAACAGAACAAATTGAAAATGCAAATCTTTGGCAGAAAGAGCTCAAAAGTGCAGAGCAAACAACAACATCATCCGGAGATTGGGAACTTGGCGGAAAGTGCATAAATTGTTGCATACTTAACGGCGCAGCGCCATAATAATTGCAAAGCATTTGTAAGCACCTGGCTAAAACTTTCCCCCAAGAGATTTCCTCCTCACTTCTTTTCCTGCTGATGAGCTGTGCAAATTTGTTTATTTATTGCCGAGCTCCCGCTCTGTTGCCCGCCGTTGCGTTCGGTTCCGTTCAGTTCCGTTGGCGGCCAGGTCCGGCTCCACGTTCTTTGCGGCTCTTTTGTGTGCGGCCACATTTTTATTGCCTTTTCATCTTCTTGTTTGTTTTGGCTTTCGACTTTAATGCGGCCTAATCTTTGCCGTTTACCAAAAAATGTTGCCCCAAGGAGCGTTACGCAAATGAATTGCATCATGATTGCCCGGCGCCACAAAGGATGGGGTGGGTGGCGGTGCGGTGCGGGGCGGGGCGGGGCGGGGCGGGGCGTCTCGGTTAGGTGTGCAGCATAAATTTCAAGAAAATATTGTCAAACCAAAGAAAGTTTTGTTCGGTCGGGGACTGTGGGCCCGGGCAAACTTTCGAAAGTGTTCTGGCAATTGATTTCCTGCCAGATTCGGTTGGGGTTTCCCCTTTTTCGAAAGTGGGCCACATTAAAGTTGATGAAATCCTTTCTGGGAACACCAATGCAATCTCTCTCCCTGGGGCACACACACACACACACA